CTGTTCCATGCCACCAAAAAAATTCAAAAAGTGAAGCTGTGCTACTCCATAATGTCTAATAAACTAGTGGTTCTCTTTTCACTAGACTACACACACATACATTCACCATCCCCCATTTCCTTAAAAGATTGAGATGGACATAGACCTACACAAGTTTGAGTTTATGTGGAGAAAATAACCAAGAAACAAAGAACAAAAGTTAGGCAGCACCAATTTCGTTGTCTGCCAAAGTTGCCCCAAAAACCATCATCCAGGAGCCTTCCACTTGGACACTCCATTGAGGGATTACCCTCAAATTTCTCTTCGAATACACAGAAATTCTTTTGCTATATCATACCATCATGATCATTTTGGCATGCTTCCTTCATATGCCCAAAGAAATTGAACTTGAATATGCAGTTACTAATAGAAAAAAGTACATATCAGATAATGTAATATAAGCGAAAATATGAAATTTTCAATAAGGTTTATAGAATTACCAAGAGTTTCAGACTATAGTAGTGTCATTCAAATTTCTCACTCGGAGCTCAACATTGCGCAGATCACGGAGATGATGTAAAATTTCTTGAAGGAGATCCATTCCCTTGTCGCCTTTTCTTAGGGAGCCAATGCAATGCTTTAGGAATTCTCCATCTGCCTCAAGAGCTTGCAACCTTTCATAGAGATGATCCACCTCCTCTTCAATGACAAGCTTTTTATTATCCAGTTCAAGCTTTGATTCATAAGAATTGTGCACCCCATTAGACTCAAATCCAAATCCATTTCCATTATGGAATACATATCCATTTTCATCGCTAATTGCATCAAAGAGAGGAAGAAGCCGTTTTCCATTTGAACCTGCAATTCTTCTTGGTTGATGATGTTTCCCATTCATTTCCTTTGTTAAATCGTTTGCATGCCCATTTGCTTTACCCCCAAAATAAGTATCTTCATCTATATGATTGCCATTCGCATCAGCATTTTCATCCACATGATTGCCATTCTCTTCATGGAAGTCACCCATCGGTCTAAAATTCACGAAATTTTGTTCCTCTTGGATATCCAATGTCAAAAGCTTTTCTTCTAAGGCCTTGAGCTGCTCTAGAATGGATAACCTCTCTTCTTCAAAGTCAGCTAATGACTTGTACAAATTTAATGCCGCATCGACTGGAGTGTTCTGGTTGCTCGATTCGAGATTGCTATAAAATCTTTCTTCTCCTTTTGCTTCTTGATTTAGATCAATTGATAATCCATCACTATCCTCACCATTGCTAAAAGAAGCAGAAGAGAATCCACTTCTAGTACTCCCATCCCTACTTTTTCTCAAGATCCTCATCTTTTCCTTCGTTTCATACTCCAAAACCTTCTTTTGATATATTTCCAACTCTTTCTCCAGCTCCTGTTTTTCCTTCTCCCTTTTTACCATAAGTTCATTCAAGAGTTGTAGAGCTTCTTGATCATACTCAGACTGCTCTTCCATCATTCTCTGATACTGTAAAGCTTCCATTTGCATTGCTGCTTTCTCTTCTTGGAGTCTGTTTATCATTGCCATTGTTTGATTGGCAGCCACAGCAGAAGCACTTCGCTCTTCTTCCAGCTCAGCATATAATGCACGTAAAGTCTTACGTTCAGATCTTAGTGCTGATTTCAAGAGTTCAATTGTAACAACTCCATCACCACATTCTAGCTCACTAGTCACACTTCCATCCAAAGACTCTTCAGTTGCCGAATCCTTTTTCTCAAGCAATGGAAATTTCTTGTGCAAATGATGGAGACTGTCTGCAGAAGTGGGTGTAGAAGCTGGCGTATCAGGAAACTTGTCTTCATCGATATCATTGAGCTGCAAAAGAAACGATGGTTTTTCGTTCGTTGTGTGCTCACTGTTCCAAATTGTTAAGGCTTTTAGTTCAACTACTTTTGGTTCCCCAACTTGTAAAGGACCTAATAGAAAATTAAGACACTGATGAGAAGTTACCAAGGAAAAAA